AAATTGGTTTTACTAGAAGTTGCCATGTTGGGGCGTGGCTGAGTGCAGCCGATACTAAATCGCATCATACATTTCCCCCTTGACCCTGGCCTTTCCCCCACCCCCTGGATGTGACTTCTCCAATGGGACACATCCGTCTCCCAAGAGTCCTCCATCATGCTCTCCAGTAACCTTCTTATGCTCCGACAACTCTGAGCTGCCGGGGTGATTATCTAGGCATTTAAGGAATGCCTTATTTTCCCTCACTCCCCTTTTCCTGGCAGCTAAAAAGACCAAAGGAGCATCTTTTTAGTTGACAGTCAGTAAGCGGTCAAGCATCTGATGTGACCATCAGGGATGCTGCAATGGTCATAAGCGTGAAAAATGATCTTAAGTCGCTTTTTTTCAATGCTGTTGTAACGTCAAGTTGCCACTAAGTGAACTGTTGTAAGCGGAGGACTTGCCTGTATTCTGTTTTCTGTCCGTCTCCTGCTAGCTCGAGGTGTCCTAGTTTGATTCTTGGGCCTCTTGCAAGATTTTTTATAATGCTGGATTTGTCAGGAAGGGGAGGGAGGGAGGGAGAATCCCCACGTTTTGCTGGCTGAGGCCTTCCAGACCGTGGCAGGTTTCCGTGGGTCAGTGGGTGCTGGGCCTCTCAGGCCTTCCCCCCACTCACTCCCCAGAGCTAGGTTTGGGGGGGTCATTGAGTGAGGCAGCCATATGAGTGTCTTGTTTAATGACCACAGCAACTTACGACTAGAAGTCCAGGCTCAGTTGCGATGGTAAACTGAGGATGCAGAAATGTAATGCAAAAATTAAAATATCCTGGCGGCCAAGAATTTATCTCGTAGCATAATCACGTAATAACAAATAGGTGTGCTTTTTGTGTATATGTGTGTGGTTTGTGTTACAGTTGCATTTATGAGGGTTTTAGAAGGATTTCAGTTTCAGTACGGTGATTTTTCTGGTGCTCATTAAAAACATCTCTATCATCTACCTACCTATCTTCATCCATCCATCATCTATCATTTACCAGTCTGTCTGTCTTATCATCTCTTTCATTTATATCTATCATCTCTCTCTCTCTCTCTCTTCTATCTATATTTGGATGATGCTTACAGGACATTTTAAAAAAATATTTTGCAGACAATGCAGGGTGATGGACCCCCGTTGCTCCTGTCAGAGGCTGTCAACAAAGCTGCGAGAGTGGTCGGAGTAAAACCTTTGACGAGCGCCGAGAGCTTGAACCGAGACCTTGCTGATCCAGCATTGCAAGATGGCTACCAGCAGCAGGTGGGATGGGTTCCTTGGCTGTGGGACAGAGGGTGCAATGAAAGGTACCAGAGGTGCTTTTTTAACAGGAACTGGTAATTGCTGTGAAGAGCTGTGGGGTGGCACAGTGATTAGAATGCAGTATTGCAGGCTGACTCTGCTCGCTGCCAGGAGTTCGATCCTGACTGGCTCAAGGTTGACTCAGCCTTCCATCCTTCCGAGGTGGGTAAAATGAGGGCCCAGATTGTTGGGGCTAATAGGCTGACTCTGTAAACCGCTTAAAGAGGGCTGGAAAGCACTGTGAAGCAGTATATCAGTCTTAAGTCAACATCATCGTCATCTTCATTTAGCGACCCCATAATCCCTTATGGGGGTGGAACCTGGGCAACTGAATGGAGCTAGCAAGAGTGTTTACTGGCCGGATGCCCATCCTGTCGCCAGCACGGAGTTTTGTTCAGCAGATATATTCTCAGTGTGCCCAGAAAGAGAAATATTTTTTAAGTGCTATTGCTAATTGATGCACTTGCTTTCTTCCCGCCTTTTTTCCCCAGTTGAAATCGGATCTGCAGGAGAGACTTCAGGCCGATCCCAGTTTCACTCCTCAGCGCTTTCCCAGTGCCCAGCAGGCCTTTGTGGCTGAAGACTCCTAAAAGAGGCTGGCCGGAAGCGCCTGAGGCCGAGGCCGGTTCCTCAAGGCCGGCTTCACTGTCCACATGCGCGTGATGCAGACACCCCAATCCTTTCTCAGGCCAAATATTTAAATTCCATTTATTTTCCCCCATGGTTGCAGTGACTTTTCCCCCCCTCCCCCCGTGGAGTGTCCAAGCTGCTGCCAAAATCAATAAAGATTACCCATATGTCCAGTTGTGTCTCTTTTTTTCTCCCTGCCTGCCCACACTTAACAATCTATTGTGGACTTTGTAGCACCTTTAATTACCTTATTTTTGCCAAGCAGATTTTCTTATTTCTCATTCGCACAGCCTTTTCTTGGCAAAGCTTGAAAGAAGCACAGTGGGTTTGGGCTTTAGTGTCGTGTTGGTGAACATGTGGCATATGTGCCACAGGTGGCACTCAGAGCCGTTCGTGTTAGCACACAAGCAAACTTACCAACTTACCTCACTGCACCTGTGTGCGCCTCAGCTGATTTCTGGCAGGTTTGAGACCTTTTTCGGCCTCCTAAAGGCTTGAGGAAGGCTTCTGCAGGCTTCTACAAGCTTTGTGGGCAGAAATCTAGCCCTGTTTCGTCACTTCTGGGATTTTTGGAAAACCAGGAAGTGACAAAAACGGGACTAGATTTTGTTTGCGCATGCCTAGGGGATGTGGGTGGGTGTGGCATTGCCTTCTGGATGCTGGCACGCAAGCGTGAGTGTGCAAGCACACACACCATTTTTTGGCACAGGAGCCCCCAAAGGTTAGCCACCATTGCTTTAGTCAAACATCGTCCGCTGTTCAGCATTAAAACCATGCAAGGTGCCTCAGAGACGCTTTTTCAAAAGGCAACGACCGTATTTTTTTGCACTGTTAAGACAGTTCAGACCGTAAGACACACCGAGCTTTTGGGGAGGAAAAGAAACATCTGCCTCTGCCTTCCCAGCCATTTTCCCCCATGGTTGGGCCTCCTTGCACCAAACAGCCTGTTTCAGCTTCAGCACAGCCTGATTCAGCACGAGCAGCTGATTGGCAGTTGGATTGGCATCCCGAAATACTGCCGATCAGGTGTTCCAGGCTGCGGGGATTGCCACCACCCATCACCTCTGCCTATCACTTCCTCCCACCTATCGCTGCCTCTGTGCGTGCCATTTTGGGCCTCCACACGTCCCGTTTTTTGGGCTGTTTCAGGTGGCAGGGCTTGCCAAGTGCCCCATTTGTTCACCCCCATTCGCCGCTTGGAACAGGCTGAAAACGGGACCCGTGGAGGCAGGAAATTGGTCACGGCAGCGGTGAGGATCCCCACAGCCTGGAACACCTGAATCGGCAGCATTCTGGGAGGCCGATCCAACCGCCAATCAACTGCTCTTGCTAAGTCAGGCTGTGTTGAAGCTGGGAGGCAAAGGGTGGGGGTCTGGGGAGTGGGTGGGGCTTCAGCAACATGCATTCTATGAGACATTTCCACCTGCTTTTTTTTGGGGGGGGGGAAGTGCGTTTTATAGTGCAAAAAATACAGTCACTGGACGACTTTTTTTCCTGACTTTTCTTGAGAGGTTTCGCCTCTCAAGTAGCTTCATCAGTTCTGAACCAAGAAAGCTTCTTGGGATGAGGAACATAGTATCTTCAAGGAGAGAAAGAAAAAAAAGTCCAGTTGCCTTTTGAAAAAGCACGTCTTGTGATAACCGTGACTTGGATGACTGAGGATCTCCACAGACATTGAACACTGCAAGGTGTTCGGGGATTGTGCATCCGGATAGCACTGAACAAGCAGCAGACCCAAGTGGTTTTTTTTCTTTTTTGGGAAATCCGTTTTGAGACACTGAATTTAGTAAGAAACCTGGATCTGGGGCTGTTTTCACTGTAGTTGGTCTGCAAAACCATTGAAACCTAAAAACTGTTGAGGTCCTTGGTCCTTTCTGAGCTTGGTTGTTCTCTGCCAGGTTTGTGTAGTTCTTGTACTGATATTTTAAAGAATATTTTAAACTTGCAATTTATCAGCCTCGGGTGTCACATGCATTTCTGATCGATATTAAATTGGAACGGATTAAACATGAAGACGGCCAAATCGATGGCATCGGGTAAAGCAACCGGACTTGGAATTGACCGAGGAGATACTGAAGTGGGCAAAAGTTTCTGCCTTTTAGAATCAACTGTCAACAACAGAAGAAACATGGAAACACGTTGCAATTCTAATTTCGGAAAAATATATCCAAGGGCTTTTGATATGTCTGTACCTACCAAGATCATAAGTGGGGCAGGCAATGGTTCTCCATGTTAACTCTCTATGGAAGAAAAACAACAACTGGAATTTGAAGAAACAGAGTAGAAAAAAACCTGGGGAACAGATTATTCTGAAGAAAATCTATGTGGTTGATGGCAGAATTAAGAGGCCTTATTTTAGTAACACTACTACTATGGTGCATAAGTCGCATGCCAGCAGCCTATGATCAGTTAACTTAGAAGAAAAAGAAACTCTTTCCTATCACTAGTCTTTCATCCGTAGTAAGCCTTCTCTCTCTTCCCAGCGAGCTCCTGGGGACCAGCATGGAGGAAAAGGCCTACCCTCAGAGTTTTGAGTTTCTTGGATAGATCTTAACACTTAAATTGGGATGTTTCTGTCCTACTTGTTCTGATGCATCTTCATAAGTTTATGGAACCTGTGGCTAACAAGAGCCATGGTGGCTCGGTGGTTAGAGCGCAGTATCTCAGGCTGACTCTGCTCACTGCCAGCAGTTTGATTCCAATCGGCTCAAGGTTGAGACTCAGCCTTCCATCTTTCCGAGGTCAGTAAAATGAGGACCCAGACTGTTGGGAGACAAGAGGCCGATTCCGTATCAACTGCTCAGAGGGGGCTGTAAAACCACCATGAAGCGGTAGGTATGTAAGCCAAAGTGCTAATCGCTGTTGCTAACCGCTACTCTAATCCTGCTAAGACCGGCTTCTCCATTTACCGTACGCCAGGTCGATTTCAGGCAATAATACTGCGAACAAACATTGCAGGTTGTTTTCACACGCAGAACTTTCACCAGAGGCCAAATTCTCCGTGGATTTTAGAATGAAATCCAGCTCTTAGCAGTAGACATTAAAGACAGGGCGGGACTCAACAGATTGATCTTTTTATTTTATTGGTTTTTTTTTAAACAACTTTTTTTTTTTTTGGTTTTATTTATTAAACAAACCAGCTCGACCACCTTTTAAAAACTCAACGCTTCCTATTTCAAACTCAGGGGAGCAGACAGACAGGAGAGGAGGCAGGCTCCCAGGCACGCCTCCCCCTACTCCCATAAATAGAAGAGGGGAGAGGCAAGACCTCACATGTTCATATTTATATATATTTACACTCCACACTTAAGAGCAGCTCCACCCCCTCCCGTCTCTGGGGATCAAGAGGCAACGCAGCCCCTCCCAGAAAAATATAAACTCAGGTGAAACCAAAGGAAATAAGCAAAAATACATTCAGCTGGGAGCCTCCCCAAATCCTGATCCTTGCCCCCCCAAATTACACTCCGAGTATCCCACTAAGAGTCTAAAACACCCCTAACAGAGGGGACAAATTCAGTCTGCCCCCTCCCCACAGAAACAGAAAAGGAATTAAGGAGACACCCCATCTTTAGGATACATCAACCGGAGAGGAGGGATGAGCCCCGGCAAAGAGCTCCCCCCCCCCTCCCAAAAAAAATCATTCTGAGGAAAGGATGTCAAAAACCAAATCCAAAAGGGAGGGAGGAGTATTCTGGGCTAGTGGTGTCCGGAGAGATTGGGGTCTTGCTTGTCGGCGTGGGACCGAGTGTCCGTCTCAAGGCGGCGGGCAGGGGCTCCGTCCCGGGGTTGAGGGGCCCGTTCCCAGCAGCGGGGGTTCCACCGAAGGACGTCGGACTGCGAGGGAACGGAAGGAGAAGAGAAGGAGTAAGTTAAGGCTAAGGTTAGCCTGGGCTGCCATCTTACCTATTTGGCCTGCGTTTCAGTTAGCCCCAGAAGCCAGCCTTACCTGCTGGTAGACCTCAAAGCGCTGGGCACGAAAGAGGCCACCGTAGCCGGACCCGGGAGATTTGAGCCTGGCACTGAAGCCTCCGGAGAAAGGCCTGCGGGGAGGGAGAAGAAGAGAAGAGAAAAAGGCTCAGCGCCTAGAAGAGAGACCCGAAGAAAAACCCTTGACTGGGGGCTCTTGATGTTGTATCAGGATGTGGTTCCAAGGAAAAGCAGTTGGAACTGTGTGTTTCTTCTACTCCCTATAGATTTTTTTTTTTTTAAAAACTTTAGTTAAATAAAAGCTTATTTATTTATTTATTTTTCCGTTTATTTCCAAACAGAAAATCCTGAAAACCAGGCGTATTTGCTATAAAGAACTATCTTCTGCTCTTCCAACATAAAAAAAAAAGTAAAAAAAAAATCTCTACAGGGAGAAGCAAAAGTATTGAGATTTTAACAGCAACGCCTTAAAACCCTGTTTGGAATTCTTGTAAAGTTTGACTTACTGTTATTAAACTTCCTTCAAGGAGCTCCCAATAATCCTTGCACCTTATAAGAATTCGTTTAGTGACCGTTTCAAAGTTACAATGGCACTGAAAAACACGACTTGTTTCACACTTGCGACCTGAGCAAAATTCAGATGCTTTGGCAACTGGTTCATATTTTTTGACGTTGGCCGTGTCTCTGAGTCATGCGATCACTTTTTGTGACCTTCAGACAAGCAGAGTCAATGGGGAAGCCAGATTCACTTCATTGGGTTACTAGGTTAACCACTGCAGGGAGACTCGCTCAATTGTGGCAAGAAAGGGTGTAAAATGGGACAAACTTCACTTAACAAATACCTCACTCAACAACAAGAAATTTTGGGCTCAATTGTGGCCTTAAGTCAAGGGCTACCTCCACAAATGAGGCTTCCCAAGCTTGTGAGATAAATTGGGGGTGGTCAGAGGGGCTGCGTCCAGGAAAAACCTCTTTCCACATGCCAATGTGTTTTTGTAGACCGTTTACTTAAAATAGGTAAATGACAAACTGAAATGCTTATAATAAAAACATTTCCTTCAACATTTCTTCTTTCTTTTTTAAAACAATCTGTAGGCCTCCAAAGCCCCACAGACATTCTTCATGGTAAAAGCGGTGGGAGGAAGCGACTGGCTGAGGAATTCTGGGAGTTGAAGTCCACCCCTCTTAAAGTCGCCAGGGTAGATTTAAACTAATGGAAGAAACATTCCTCTCCAACTTGCAGGAACCTCTTTTTTTCCAATCCATTTCAAAACAAGGGAGCTGCACATGCGAACTGGGATTCTCCTCCCCACAACCAACCGTTGTGCTACACCCAGGTGTAATCATGGGAAAAGCTAAGAGTCCAGAACTCGTGGCGACACTTCTTCCTTTAGAACGGTTTAGAAATTCTCCTTTTATACCATGATCATCCCCCATGTTTGAGAGCTAACGGGTCTTGATCGGGAGAGCTCTTGGGCCAGTAAGGGGTATGACACAGGTGTCTCAATACATTTTCAAAGCTTCACCCAGCTGGAAGCACAAATAAAAGAGTTTGCAGTCCTGGGAATATAGATAAACCTCAACCACGGATCATTTCAGCCCGCGGAGAATACTTGCCTGTTCCCAGAAGGGGGCCGGGCACCTACAGACCCCAGACCATTGAGTTTCCGGTAATCTGGCATGGGTTTCATTTCCAGAGCATGAAGCTGAAGGAAACAAGCCTTGTTAGAAGTCGGGAGCTGGAGGCAGCCTTTCCTCCCTCCCGGCAGGCCCCGTTTCCCCAACGCTCTGCTTTACCTCGTTCCGTCCCACTCCGCCGGGAGGAAAGGCTCGGATGGCAGGAGACACCAGTCTCCCAGCCAGCTGTCCTGGGGCCCGGAGTGCCTGGGCAGCCACAGGAACCAGAGGCATTGGAGGAGGGGGCTGTGGGGGTGGCGGCGGGGCGGAGGCAGCTGGGGGTGCTTGTTGCAAAGAGCCAAAGTTCACCACGGGTGGCAACTGGGGTGGCTCCACCACCGGCAAGAGCACCTGGGGCAGAAGCAGAGAGAGAGAGAGAGAGAGAGAGAGAGAGTGAGTGTGTGGCAGACGCTGCATTCACAGCCTTCCCGGGAAGAGTCTGGGGGTCTCCAGGAAAGAAAGCTCACCCTCACCTGTTGGGCAGGTCCTGTGGCCGTCAGGAAATTGCTCTGGCTGCCTTGGCCCAGTGTGGCTGGGTAGAACTCGGAAGGAGAGGCGAGCTCCTGACGCACCTGCGGAAGAAGGAAAAGCAGGTGAGGGAGCACCTGGGGCCTTGGATGACGACAGCACAGAAACCTGAATATACCCTTTGGGTGTGTGTGTGTGTGTGTGTGTGTGTGTGTTTGGGGGCTGGGAAGCACCTAAACTGGGTGTGGGGGAGGAGTTCTGGTCTGGTGGGACTATAATCTGAGTTACAAAGATGATGGGCTGCCGGGGAAGAACACAGGCAGTTTCCTAGTATGGTTTTGATTGCTTATTTAGTATCCTGTGACCGTCACTAAGTGTTGTATCTTATGATTCATGATGAATATATTTATGAGGACTACAATCGTGGCTTATCACTTTATATCTTTTATGCACCGAAGACAAAATCACAATGGCCAATAAAGAATTCTATTTTCTATTTCTCTATTACAACGATTTGCTTAATGACTGTTCAAGTTACAACACCGCTGAAAAAAAAAGTGACTTATGACCTTTTTTCACACTGGTGACCATTGCGGCATCCCCGTAGTCGCGTGATTTACATTTAGATGCGTGACAACTGACTCCCATTTATGACAGGTGCAGGGTCCCAAGGTCATGTTGATTCCCTTTTGTGACAAGCATAGTGAATGGGGAAACCAGGTTCACTTAACCATGTTACTAATTTAACAACTGCAAGGATTCACTTAACTAACGTGGCAAGTAAAGTCGTAAAATGGGACAAAACTCATTCAACAAATTTCTCACTTGGCAACATAAATTTTGGGCTCAATTGTGGTTGTAAGTTGAGGACTACCTGAAATTCACAAGGATAGATTAAAAAAAGATGGCTTGGAAGTTTCAGGAAACTGAATCCCGTTGGAATCGGGGGGAAAAAGGAAGGAACTGAGCGAGAGACTTGTGTAGTACAATAAAAACCAGACCGATTTAGTCCCTTACACAGACCAAAACTTCCATGCATGGACTGCTTGAAGGCAGATATTTTAGGTGTGTTTAAGACTTTATGCATGGAATCTTTTGCACATTTTCAATAAAAAAAAAAATCGAGGCACATATTTTCCAGAGGATTTAATTCCTTTTTCGTTTTATTGTGCTGACTGGTCTCTTTTACCAATTGCTTTTAAAAAGGTTAAGGGGGGAGGGGGTGCCGAGGGGAGAGACGATAGGAATCTCAATGCGGTTGTCAAAAACTTGGCAAAGGAATTTTCTCAGCCAGCGAAGGAAAGATCTTCCTCTTCTAAGCGTGGCAATATGCTGAATAAGATGCAGTAATCACCCCAATGCCCTCAGACAAGATGGGCACCCCCTTTGGGCAGAAAAAAAAGCAGGAAAATCAGGTTTAATATGCCAGAATTGCATCTCCCGTGTCACGCCCCTTTTGATCTAGTCACTAAGAAGAATCCTCTGCAGATGTCGCCATCTCAGAGAATGCTTTGGTAGCGCCATCTGGCACACAAAGGGTTCAAAATATATATATAAAAAATGAAGTTTTTCTCAGCACGAGTATCTTTGCAGTTGGAAAAAACTTGTTTCCCCTCCCTTTGCATGCAGTATCTCTTTGCTCGACTGCAGGACTGGAAATCAAATCCATTTCACCACCAGAGCTATAAAGGGCTCTTTCAAATGTCGATTCCTGCTCCGTTGCCACGTTATCTGAGTGCTTTTCCACAAGTTGCCCAGATTAAGGAAGGCAGGTTAGGAAGCATATCAGTGGACTAAATGAATAGATAAAACCAAGTTCAGATCAAGAAGTTACTTTTGTCGGCCGTTATTTGACGAACGTTGCCTCAACGAGAAAGTTCTGCCCAGAATGCACCTCTAACTCAAAAGCCTGCTTTGATTAGGTAGATATTCGGTTTCGTGAGGGCTACTCTGTCCCAATCTGGTTCCCCTTTGGAATTCTAGTTCAGCGTTAAACTAGCTTTCTTCAGCAATTTCACCTGCTCTTCACTGTTCCCTGCCCATTAACTGATAGCTCTCAACTTACAACCATTTGTTTATAGTTTGATTTTAGCTCTAGAAAGCTTTCGTTTTGAGTAGGGTAATGACTTATAGTGACTTACATTGTGACAAGATGTGGAAGTCACACTAAGTGATTTACCCCCAGCCCTTGTGGATGCAATCGCAGCACAAGTGTTTTATGATCTGCGTGCTTGGCAACTGTCATGTGTTTGTGACGGTTGCGGTCTTTTGCGGTCACGTGACAGCCCATTCGCAACCTTCCCGGACAGCTTCTGACAAGGAATGTCAAAGGGGAAAAAAAGCTGGTAGGGAAGATGGAAAGAATTGCTGTCTGGCTTAAGGACCCAGCAAAAATCAGGTGCAGACACACGACGCCTCACTTAACAACACATTTTTTCCCAGTCCCTACGGTTGTTGTAAGTGCAAGGCTATTTGTCCTCTTGCATTACTTCCTCGGTACCTGAAGCAAGGCCTGTTCAGGAGCCAACTGGCTTCCACAGAAGGCTGAGCTGTAGATGAAGGAGGGAGGCGGTGCCTGGTAGAGCAAGCCCGTAGCCGGAAGCTTGGGCAGGTCGGCTGCCTGCAGAGCGGCTATTTCCACATACTGCCCTTTCAAGGCCATCCCCGAGAGCAAGGCTGAACTCGGAAGCACTGTGCCCGCTGCTGTCTGAGCTGGAGAAGCAGGGGCCGGGCTGGGCTGGAGGTACAGGTGCTGGGACCTGGGGAGCAAGATACCTGGCTCAGATGGACCCCCCCAAACCTGACCTTCCGGGTCCCAAACAAGGAAGGATCTTTGCTCCACCACCCCCACCCCTCCAACCAGGATCGCCTGCTCCCCCCCTGCTGGCCTCGTACCTGTATGAGTGCACCGAAGGGGCGTTCGTACGGTAGTTGCTGCCACCACTTGCGCTGTGGAGCTGAGACTCGAGCTGGGCGTTGGGGACCTACAGACAAAAAGAGGACAAATAAAAAACGCCATCAGAAGACAACCAAGATGCCAACCAAGATGCCCGGCATCGTTTCAACGGGTCTGCGCCCAGTGCACAACCCCCCCACACACACACTTTCTGCCCCAGGAGGAGCATTTCCCTCTTCTGCCTCCCGCCTGCCAAGATGGCTACCTGGTTCCCATAAAACAGCTCCGGGTACAGCCGCGGCCCCTGGCCCCTCTCACCTGCGGAGAGAAAACACCATCAGGCGGCTAATCTGCTTCCTTAGAGCCACTCGCCGGTCCCATCCCTCCCCCAAAACCAATCAACGCCCCCCCCCTTCCCCCTACCTGAGAACATGGGAGCGTCTGCTGGGAAGCTATGCAAACAGGAAGAGGCGGCGGCGGCTGGAGCTCCCGGGAAAGATCGGGGCTCAAAGGACCGACTGGGAGGCATCTCGGGGGATGCCCTGTGGCCGGGAGGGGCTGGAGGAAGCAGCTCCCACTCCCTGGGAGCAGAGGCCAGCTGTGGAGAGAGCAGACGAAGAAGCTGTCGGGAGGCCGAAGGTCACCGTCTAATTCTCCCAATTCCCTCTCTCGCTCAACTCAAATTGAACCTACTTTAGGCCACTGCGAAGTAGGTGGACTCAAACACAAACCTTTAGCAATCTAATTCAAGCTATACGTCGGGGAGCAAGCTGCCTTGGAAGTCCCGTGGGAGTTCCTCTCATCTCTGAGGGCAGCAATAGGCTGCTACCCCGCCCAACTTACCCCTTCGGTGAGTGCCTGGTGCAGCTCTTCACCTGCTTTGGGGACTTCGTTCACAATGAAGCGAAGGTCGGCGTCCTGAAAGGCCAAAGTCCCCAGTCGAGGTCTGAGCCCAGGGCTTCCCCGGCTCAGAGTTTGCCAAGAGTAGCCTGAGGCAAAACTGGGAGAGGCAGGTAACCCGGGTGCTCCCAACGGTCGCACCTACCTTATCGCTGGCACCAAACTGGATGGGCGGGCAGGCTCCCGGGGAGTCCAGTTGAGGGCCCTGTTCAGGCTTCAGCACGGCCAGCCCTTCCGTGCTCTCCTTGGCCTTCTCGGCTCGCTGGGAGCGCTCGG